CTGACGTTTTATGACCCCATTTGGGGTTTTCTTGGCAGAGATACTGGACTGGCTTGCCATTTCCTTCTCCAGTTCATTTTCCAGGCTCATAGGGTTATGTGACCTGCCCAGGATCACACAGCTAGTAACTATCTGAGGCCAGATTTGAACTCAGAAAGATGAGTTTTGCTGACTCCAGGCCTAGCGCTCTATCCACTATGGCGATACCTAGCTAGCTGCCCCTCACACTAGATACCTTCCCTGTTTACATTTCCTCATCTTGCAAGTTCATCATGCCAGTGATGATGAAGGAATACATTTCCAACATGATTTTTTTTTTTTAGGCAGTTGGGGTTAAGTGAGTGACTTGCCCAGGGTCACACTGCTAGTAAGTGTCAAGTGTTTGGTCTGAGGCCGGATTTGAACTCAGGTCCTCCTGACTTCAGGGCCGGTGCTCTATCCACTGCGTCACCTAGCTGCCCCCATTTCCAACATGATTTTACAATGTAAGTTTCCAACCTGTTTGTATATACACATCCCTCTGGGGCTTATCTGACTGATGCTTGCCAAGGGCTTGGTACTGACTCGGGGCATCCCAAGCCTGATGACCCCCGAGATTTGCCTGCTGATGGTTTTCTCGTGACTTACTAGGTCACTGCTGCTACCCACACGTGACACTCCATCTTCTGACTCCGTGCATTGGCTATACCCCATGCCTAGTACTCTGCCTCCTCACCTCCGACTGCTGGCTTCCTCTGAGATTCAGCTGAACTCCTACCTCCGTCAGGAAGCCTTTCCCTGACTCCACCATGCTAATGCCTTTCATCTATCTACTCTGCACAGATCTTGTACTGCATCATTTACATGCATGCCTGCTCCCCTATTAGACTGTAAGCTCCTTGAGGGCAGGGACTATCTTTTGCCTTTCATTGTATCCCCAGTGTTTAGTTAGCACAGTGTCTGGAACATAGTAGGCACTTAATAAATGTCGGTTGACTGAATCCTCCCCTCCACCAGCACCCCGGTACAAACACTAGCCCTTCCAACAACTTTCAAAAGCTAACGATATTGACGATCCTTTGAAAAACTCTTTTGCATTGTCTCTACTAAAAACCCAAACAAGTATTGGTCGTTTACTACGGTGCTACATGCTATAGTAGAGAAATCTGTAAGACATGGGCCCTGCCCTCATGGAGATTACAGTCTGGTTGAAGGAGCTGAGATATAGACAGTAGAAGGATGCTACACACAGCGGTTTTATCCAAACTTCTTTCCCTCAGCACCTGCTGTAGTGCCCTGCACACAGTAGGCATTTAATAATAAATAAAAAATAATAAACATTTGCGGAATGAAAAATGCTCTAGGGAAGAAATTGTGGTGCTCAGGAGAGAAGATAATTCACATTTCATTTGTGTTTTAAGGTTGACAAGACACTGTCCTCACAACAACCCTGTGTGCAGATTTCTTCATTTGACAGATGAGGAAACTGAGGGAGGTGAAGAGACTCACCCGTATTTACTTGGCTGCTGAAAGTCAAGGTGGGATTTGAACCCAGGGATTCCAGTAGGTCCAACTCTATGATAAATGTTTACTAGATGGCCGTCACTGGCTTCCTTCAAGGCTCAGCTCAAATTCTACCTTGTAAAGGGGGCCCTTCCCAGGCTACAGGAATGGCCTTCCAACTCAGTACAAATCCTGAAGAGATGTAGCTGTTTGCATTTTATCTCCCCCACTAGACTGTGGGCTCCTGGAGCGCAGGGCTTAGCTTGTCTCTGTCCCCAGTGCCAGGCATACAGGAGGCCCTGAATAAATAATACCTGACTGACACAATGCTGGATTTGGAGTCAGGAAGACTGAAATCTGGCCTCGGACATTTACCTAGCTGTCTGAACTCAGGCAGGCCACTTTATTTCTCTGAGACCTGGGCTACTCTTCCAGGACTAAGTTGGAAGTGGGTTTCCACCCGAGTTTCACTCAAGAACTGCCATGCCAGGGCAGGCAGGTGGCTCAGTGGATAGAGCACCTACCCTGGAGTCAGGAGGACCCGAATTCAAATCCAGCCTCAGACACCTAACACTTACTAGCTGTGTGACCCTGGGCAAGTCACTTAACCACATTGCCTAGCCATGCCAATGTCTCTAACGTAGCAGCCTCTGACTTAACAAAGACAAGACGACAAGAGTGTGGCATTCATATTTTAATTTTTTCTTTTATTTTTTAAATGGGAGTCATTGTACATTGTACAAACCATATCTACTGATGGAATAAATAAGTGAAAAAAAAATCATACCTCTATACAACACACCAGAAAAAAAAAATAATCATGAGAAAGGGAAAAAAAAAATGAACCAAAAAGAAAAAAAACCGATTAGGTATTGAAAAAAATTCTTTACACCTTCTAACAGGTCCTTAGAGATAACAAACATTCCAAACCATTACACGTGTATGAAAGGAGGTCACCACCCAGAAAAGAGAGACCCTAACTGCCCTGAGGGTCGTTGATGGTTGGTTTTATGAAGTGCCAGCACTATTTGGAATGTGTCGCTGCGGTATCCCGGCACAAAACAGGCCCCCACCCAAAGAACAAGTTCAAGTTCATCCTGGGAGGGGAAGGGGCCGGTCTGGCCAAGTGTTTTGTCTCTGCGGAAGGCCTCTGGGTCTATCTCCCTGCCCTCAGCTCAAGCCGCAGGCTCCTTTATGACTTGGCGATGGGGTGGCATGGTCGGTGAGGACCAGGAACTCCGCCCAGGAAGCACATCTGGATTTTTGCACTATTTCTAAAATGTGGTCAGCAGAAGAACTTTCAGTCACCGTCAAGCCCAGGGCAGGCCAGCCTGTGTGTGCCCATGTCTTTCAGAGTGCCCTTCTGACCGCTGGGGTCCGACAAGACCCCCTTTTCCCCGAGCGTGGCAGCGGGTCCATTCCTACTTTCAGGCACTTCAGAGAAAGACTAGGGACGGTCTCAGCGTTTCATCCTCGCTCCATGGGTCGAGTCCGAGAGGGGATGATGCTGAAGAGATGTGAACAACCCCAGTGAACTTCGTGTCCTTTCTTTAAAAACAAAAAAAATCCATTTCCTCTGGCTGTCTGTACCGGAACCTCTGGTCTCCCAAAAGAAAAGGAAAGAAAGCTCTAAATGCACCTTCATTTCATCTAAATGAGATGAGCTGTAATCAAAGGTCGTTGTAGGGTTTGCAGATAAAGCCTTTCACCTCACAAAGTGAAAGGGAAATCAAGGTCATTTCCTTCTTTTTTAGATATTGCAATGCACAGTTCTCACAGCATGAATGACTGCCCAGGGGAGAAAAATTCATGGATACAAGGATCTGTTTGTTTGTTTTTTAAGTTTTAAAAAGAGAGCTACCCTTTGAGCGTCACTAACTCAAAATTCAAGATTGAGTTGTTTTTCCTTTATTTAAGGAGAAATTTTGCATGAGGTATTTGAAATGCAGGAACTTTTTTTTTCCTTTTTTAAACTTTTTTTCCTCGAAGTGCAGGAATAGACTTATTTAAAAAAGAAAAGCCAGACCCCCTTGGAAAGTCATAGAAAACCAAGCCTGGAGACGCTCGAGGTGATGGCGGTCAGCCACCTGTGGAGGTGTCACCGGAGTTAAGGGGACTGACGTCCAGAGAGAATCCACTACTGGAAAGGCTGTAAGAGAGAAGGCTGAAAGCATCGCCTAAAGGGGAGAGGATTCCCAGACCAAACAAAAGGCCAGGCCGGAAGGTCTCCTGTTGAAGAGTTAGCTTTCCTAACGATACCCAGAAGGGGCACTTGCATTTGAACAAAAGTCACCCGAATTGTGCAGGTGACCATGGGCCATGCTGCCTCTGTTCTCCCAACAGGGCGCGAAGGTTTCCTCCACCTCTCTGCAGAGCCCATTTCTGGAGCAGAGGCATTACCTGTCTGAAGGACGCCCTTTCTGCTAGGCCAGAAGGAATAAACAAAAAAGGGGGGATTTGGCTCTGGTAGAAGGGAGGGTGAAGGCTGGGAGGGCTGGGGGGAGGCAGAGGGCAGAGCACGTGACGTCCTATGAAAGGTGAGGTCAGCACCAGCTCATCCTGGCCTCTCCCCATCCCACCCATCCTTCTTGATTCAGAGCCTGCAAAGAATACATCAATTAAAAAAAAATCATGCCATTTTCCACTTTGGAGATCTGAGAGATGCATTTCAGGGTAAGAATTGGAAGCGCTGGGACAAGTCTAAAGAACGAGTTTGCACAATCATTAACCTGGTCCCAAGGCTATGGCCAGTGGAGGCAGGGTGTGGGGGGGTGTCCCCCAGGATGGAGCTCAGCTTCCCAGAGAGAGAGAGAGAGAGAGAGAGAGATTTTAAAAAAGCAGCAAACATCCCCAGTCAGAAGCCCCTTCTCTGGGGGCTCGGAAGGAGGCCACTTTGGGAAAGCCTGTGGTGAGCCTCCCCTCCCCTGCCCCATGACCCCAAGGGAGAATCCGCACCAAGGCCTGGAGCTCAGGGCTAGATTGATCAAACCCCAAATGTGCATACGGCCTCGGCTTCTCCAAGGGGGAAAATGGCCACTGACTCCACTTCTCCATCTCTGCTCCTCTCGAGGTAGGGGTAGGGCAGGGATCACGAATGAGCTGGCAGCAGCCTAGGAACAAGAGGGCACTTGGCAAAAGAAATAAAAAAGCAACAGGGGACGTGGGGGAAAAACCAGACCTCGAGAGCTGTTCTCAGGGACACAAGGCACAAAAACAAAGCAGATGGAATTGCTGGAACAAGCAAGAAAAAAAGCAAATAACTGACCTGTACCATCCTTAAATATCTTACATGGTTAAATAGAGAAATGAAAAGATACAGCAGCAACACAAATGTAACCGGGACCTTTTTTTTTTTTAAAAAGAAACAGTGCATTAGACCCTCCTGAGTTGTTGACTCCAACCTTGCCCAAGACAGTAACTTAGAACTTCTGAACGTTTGCTTTCACAGGAAAATAAAATAAAATAAAATAAAAGTGTTCCATGTTGTATTTTTTTCAGTGTCTGAGACAAGTCACACCTTCCTAGGTCTCCTTGGAATTTTTTTTCTTTTTTTTTTGCTCAGTAAACTTTAAAAAGTTAGGAGTTCTGTTCTCATCCATGAGAAGCTTGCGTAGGTCAGGGTGTTCTAAAATGAAGCCCCCACCGGTGTACCTTCGGTAAAAACGGGATGGGAAAAATCTACTTCCGTGTCTAAATCTCGTCGGAGTTTTGGTGGGAAGCCTCTAGTTTCATCTTTTTAGAAGGTGGTGCTCCTTCCGAATCCTGAAAGAAGGGGAGAAGGGCAGGAGGAAAGAAAGGAAAAAAAAGAATGAGATTAAAATGCAAGGTTTAGGTTAGACAGGGAAGGGTGGGTGAGAATACTCCTCGGTGAGAATACTCCAATGGCCTCTGTGCAAGGAGAGGACTAGGGTAGGCTTTCCAAAAAGGGTTAAATTTGGAAGTCTGATTGCCAGAGGCGGCAGGGGTCATGTCCTGGCTGAAATACACTGGCATGGTGGGTTCTTTTTGTATACTTCAGGGAGCCAGGAGTGCAGAATTGTAGATCGCAGTCCCTTTTTTTAACCTTCAACATATCGGACGTTTTTTGTGAGTGGAAGTAGCTGGGGAAAAAAAAAGCTAGGTAGACATTTACTAGCTGTGTGACCTTGGGCAAGTCACTTAACCTCTGCTTGCCTGAGTTCCTCAACTGTAAAATGGGGATAATAATAGCACCTGTTTCCCAGGGTTGTTGTAAGGGCTTGGTATAAGGGTTCTGAAGGAACCTAGGTTTGAATACGACCTATGACGCTTACTAACTATAGGATCAAACCCCAAGTCCCTTCACCACCCTGAGCCTCAGTTTCCTCTTCTGTAAAATGAGATTGTTAGACTAGATGGTCTGTTAGTCGGTAACTCTCCAAATCTGCTGAGACTGGACCTTGCAGAATCCCTGGCCTGTCCTTTGGGGCACAAGATATTCAGATTTGCTTAATACAGTAGGAAGCAAATACAATGCTCATTTCAGTGTAATTAAATGTTCTGATTTGTACAATCTACCCTAAAACTTTTGTCACATCACTAAAAAACTTGAAATGTGGGGGCAGCTAGGTGGCGCAGGGACTAGAGAATCAGCCTGGAGTCAGGAGGACCTGAGTTCAGATCTGCAGTCAGACACTTGACAATCACTAGCAGTGTGACCCTGGGCAAGTCACTTAACCTCAAATGCCTCATTTAAAAAAAACAAAAACAAACAAACAAAAAAAAACCACACACACACACAATTTGAAACGTGGAAAAACAAACCAACTGACTCAGCTAAACTAAGGTCCCTGTAAAAGAGATACATGGAAGGGGCTATACCCCAATTCTTGTTTTTTTGGGTTTTTTTTAGGCAATTGGGGTTAAGTGACTTGCCCAGGGTCACACAGCTAGTAAGTATCAAGTGTTTGGTGTGAGGCCGGATTTGAATTCAGGTCCTCCTGACTTCAGAGCTGGTGCTCTGTCTACTGCGCTACCTAGCTGCCTCTGTACCCCAATTCTTTATTACGCAGTAGGGTATCCAGCCGCAAAGTTTATGCTTTCTCTGGGGACAAAGCTTTGAAGAGACCAGAGTTGCAAAACTCCAGGCCACAAGGAATCAGAAGAGAATCCTAGTGGTGTATATTTTTCAGGGGCTTCAAAAATTATTTGCTTTTAGGAAAATCAAAGTCCGTGTCCCCCTCCCTGTGTCTCCTCTCCCATTCTCCCACATATACCCCAGTCCTGACTGTTCCTTGTTATCTGTTTAATCTTGGGTGTAAATCACTTCACCTGAGCCTCAGTATGTGCATCTGTGTAATGGGCTTCTGGGGTCCCTGCTGGCTCTATGTCTATGAGCCTGGATGACCCTAAGATAACTCATTATTTACCTTCTGCTTTGCTACTTATAAAAATATAGATAAAAGTGTCTTACATTTCGATGTTTATTTCTCTCTTGTGAAATTTTTTTCCATATGATTTTGATTTCCGGAGTAAATAAAAACACAATAAATACCTCTAATCAAATTATCTCAGTTGAGATAACAACACAGTGTTCACGACAGCCCTGTGAAGGGATTTTTATCCTTATTTTACAGATGAGGGAAGTGAGGTACCCAAAAGGTCAAGTGACTTGTCTATGGACACCAATTAGTGTCAGAACTGAACTTGAACCGACGCCTTTGGACTCTTTTAAATCCTGCTGTAATCTGTATTCTACCAAGGGGTCTCTTAGAAATGGCCCAAAAGAAGAGACAAGAATTCACCTCCCTCCCTCCTTTGCAGAGGTGGGTGGCTCTGCTGAAGTGTTGGGGCCAAGGCATATTAGGAAATTAAGGGGATAGAAAAATAAAATCAATTTTTTTTAATCTAAAGAAAAAAGAAAGGAAAAAAGAGGCAAAAAAAAAAAAGAAGAAAAGGCCCAAGTCTCACAATCTTGGACTGTTATAAACTGAGGAAAGGTTCAGTGAAGGGAAAGTATTTTTGCTAGATGGAGTTTCAAATACTTTCAGGACCTTGGCTGCCTTAGGTGAGCACACTGTGATTTCAAAGGAGAGACTTGTGGGTTAATAATCACAGCTGATATTTATATTGTGCTTTAAAGATTTACAAAATACTTTGTGTGCATCATATTATCTCATTTGATTCTTACAACAATCTTGGGAGGTAGGTGCTTTAGTAACCTCATTTTACAGATGAGGAAACTGAGGCAAACAGAGATTAAGAGACTTGCCAAAGGTCACACAGCTACTATGAGGCCAGATTTGAACTCAGGTCCTCCTGACTCCAGAGCCGGTGCTCTATCCACTACGCCACCTAGCTGCCCGGCAGTCTGGTGAAGACCCTCCTCAGAAAAAGTTCTTTTAGAGGCAGTTAGGTGGTACAATGGATAGAGTGCCAGGCCAGGAGTCAGAAAGACCTCTAGAGACTGCCTCTAAAAGAACTTTTTCTGAGGAGGGTCTTCACCAGACTGCCGGGCAGCTAGGTGGCGTAGTGGATAGAGCACCGGCTCTGGAGTCAGGAGGACCTGAGTTCAAATCTGGCCTTAAACACATAACACTAGATGTGTGACTTTGGGCAAGTCACTTAACCCCAAATGCCTCCAAAAAACAAAACAAAACAAAAAAACCTTTAAAACCACAAGTACACGGACCCTAGGTGATGAACCCCTGCTCTAGCCACGATGCCCAGGCTGTCTGGTCAGGATAGACTCTAGAGTTAAGATTCAACAACTACTCTCAAGGCCCAGGAAGTTTCCTGGGCTCTATCATTTGAATGAATGACCTGAGAGCTCTTGGTTTTGACCAGTTCTAGAGGAGGAGGTTTGGGTTTACCAGACCCACAGGAATGATAATACTAATAACGCTAACAACAGTTTGTATTTGTATAGTGCCTTAAGGTTTGCAAAGTGCTTTACAAATATTTTTAACAACAAGAATGCTGGGAGGAAGATGCTGTTGTTACCTCCATTTCACAGATGAGGAAACTGAGGCAGACTGACTTGCCTAGTGTCACATAGCTAGTCAGTGCCTGAGGCTGAATTTGAACTCAGGTCTTCCTGACTTCAGGCCCAGCACTCTACCCATTGTGCCACCTGATAAGAGACAGCTTCTTTATACTTCAGACCAAAGTACAAAGAGAAAAAGGGAAAAAAAAAAAGACACAAATAAAGGACTCACTGAAGTGTTTGACTTAGCACTGGGGTCACTTTGACGTCAGATAGTGATAAAAATCAAGGTGAATAATGCCTCTTTAGTGTGCCCGCCTCCCTCCTCTGCCCCAAACAAAAGACCCACTGGGAAACTTGGCTGCCCTTCTGCGTCTGGAGGTGAGTACCTGAGAGTTATTTGATGCTTCTGTGGTTATACTGTTGTCCCCAGAGGGTTGCATTTCGACTTTCTCTGAACTGTTCATTGAATTTTCCATCGAGGACTGTGAATTCTGCTCATCAGAAGTATCTGAAGGAAACAAAGAAAAGACAGTAGCTGTTGTCAAACACGCTGGCCGAGGGTCCACAATCTAACCATACCCAAAGTCTGTCTGTTTGGGAAGGCGACACCTTCCTTCCAACCATCCATCAGGGGCTTCCCTCCGGTTCTGGAGGATAGCTAAGAGAGGTTTTGGCCCCTTTGGTCCAGAGTAAGCAGTCAGGAAGGTCAACAGGAAGAAGTCAACACTCATCTGTCTGCACTCAGAGGGGCCACCCTTATGACCAAATGGTCCTTCTCCCTGACTAGAAAAATTAACCCTGATTAAAAAATAAAAATTTTTAAAAAACCAGCTCCACAAAGCTAACCAACAATTACACAAACGTGTATATCTTAGATGTATGTCAAATGAGACGTTTGTAAAGTACTTAGCACAGTGGGCACTTTAAAAAAGTCACCTCCCCCCCCTCCCCAAGACAGGGATGGAGGTGTACTTTCATATCTCTTTTTATTCACAAAAAATGGCAGCATTTTTATAGAGCTTTAAGGTTTGCAAAACCTGACATGCTATCTCTTTGGATTCGTACAATGACCCTGTGAAGTGGGTGCTATTAGTGTTCCCATTTTACAGATGCGGAAACTGAGGCATGCCGGTTAAGTGACTTGCCCAGGGTCACACAGCTAGTAAGAGCCTGACGCAGGGTGGTCTCTCTGACTCCACGTCCCCAGCTCTATCCACTGAACCACCTCGTTGTCTACAGTGACTAACTTTGTTATTATAATTACTTTGTTTAGTTTCGTATGTTTCGGTTCTTTTTAGTTGTGTTGCTGTTCAGTTGAGTCCAACTGTTCATGACCCCATGGACCATCACGTTTTCTTGGCAAAGATATGGAGCGGTGTGCTATTTCCTTCCCCAGCGGATCAAGGCAAACAGAGGACAAGTCACACAGCTAGGAAGTGTCTGAGGCTGGATTTGAACTCAGGTCTTCATGACTCCAGGCCCAGCGCTCTATCCAAGATGCCTCTTTTTACTTACAGGGTGGTAATCATCATGGGTGTTTTTCTGCTGCTGCTAACTCCCTTTTTCATTCATTTATAAGTGCCTGGCTTCTTCTGGAACAATAAGTTCCACAATAGAGACGGTAAAGCAAAAAAAATCCACACACTGGCCCTGCCTGGAACTGGATGCCTCATTCTGCCCTGACAGCCAAGGAGCAGGAGGCCCACCCCCACCCAGCGGTCATGGGTGCCCCAATGACAAAACCCAACTTCAGGGTTCTGAAGGCTCCCCTTCCATTGCCAGGGTGGTCCATCCCAAACAGCTGCAAGGTCTACCAGGCAGGCCCCAGCTCGGCTGACCTCTCCGCCTGACTGTGTGCATTCCGGGCAGCGTGGCTGAATATTCTGCTCTTTCTCCTAGAGCCCAGAGACCCAAGTCACAAAGTCAGGAACAAAGGCGTCTAGTTTCCCCCAGAGACACGTGCCTTCTCCCAGCCCAGCTCCACTTTCTCCAATGGCTTGAGGCCAGCACCACCTAGTGGACACAGAGGCTGCAGCCGTGGTGGCAGCAGTTCCAGCCTCAATTTCTACTCAGAAGGGCTATGTAGTTCTGTAAGAGATGGACTCTTTTATGTATATATATATATATGTATGAGTTTATGAATTTTTTTGTAAAAGATGCTTAGATAACTGTCCCTTTGTAATCCTAGGTATTTTATGGATTTACAAAATTTGAAAAGGGGTCCCGAGTTTTAACAGAGTATACAAAGTTAAGAACCTTTATACCAAGCCACTTAACTGCCTGAAAAAAATGAAGTTTACAAATCTTCCATGTTATTTTATTTGAACCTCACCTCACCACTGTCACCCTCAGATATGGGGACTACAGGTATTATACATTCCTCCCATTTTACAGATTTTTTTTTTTCTTTTTTACTGAGGCTTAGGAAGGTGAAGTAGCTTGCCCAGGGTCACCCAGATACCAAGTGTCTGGGTTGGGGTTTGCACCCAGCTCCCCTAACTCCTGGGCTCTACCCATCTTGCTACATGCATAGATGGCCTTGTGTGTTAGCAGCTGTCCAGGGTCCTCCGGGCTAGTGCAGGGGCCTGGCCTCCTTGGCAGATGTGGCCAGTGCCAGAGAGGCAGGCAAGTGACTGCAACCACTGGCTTACACTAAAGGTTTGCCGGCATCTCCCCACCAGTGGGTGTATAGTAATTAAGAACTAGTTTTAAGGAGTTACTCCATCATTCACTCCACTGATCTCTCTTGCAATTAAGAGCTGCTTGGCTGGTCAGACAAACTGCTCTCATGTCCCTGCTCGCTAGCAGATGCTAAGTTTTGGGGTTCACACCTACAGATCCTTTGTCAGGGGCCTTCTCTATGGTCAGAAGGCTGAATCAGTTGGCCCCTAGTATCTCTGGGTCCTGGTTCTCACCTTCCTTGCCCCCTGGAGGGCCTTCTGGTTAAAAACTCTTTATAACCCAGCCCCTTCCAGTCTTTTCTCTCACTCATGTCCTTTATGAGCAAGTAACATGGGATTCTTCCCTGCTCCTCCTGTATAACCCACCCTCTCCAGGGTCTGGGCCTTGCTGCTGGCAGTCACTCATGCCTGGGACCACTCCCTCCCAGCCTCCTTGGATTCCATCAAATCCCACCTTCTGCAGGAAGCCCTCCCCTCTCAGGTTATTTTCCATCTATTCTCTATGGGTGCCTAGTTATTTTCATAGTATCCCCAGCACTTAGTAGTAAGCTCTTTAAAAAAAAAAATGCCTGTAGACTTGACTTACTGCCTTGTTAAAATGGAAGCCCCTTGTGGGCAGGGACTGGTTTTCCCTTTCTTTGGCACAAAGGAAGTGCTATTTCAATAAATGTTTGTTGACTCACTGAAAACATTTTTAATGGTGTTTTGTTTACACACTATCTTCATCTATGAATTTATGCCTTCCGTCATCTCCAGAGGTCCAAACCTTGCAACCGAGAATTAACAAAAGGTGAAATAAAACCAACAATTCAGTGAAATTAACCAAAGGAGTTTGATAGCATACCCTGTATTCCAAGCCCATAGTGCCCCCCAGCTTTGCAAAGAATGAAGAGGCATGCTCTCTCTTTTCTGAGGTCAACCTTGGTCATCAATCATAATTAGACAGCATTTGGGTTTTTTTTTTCTATTTATACTGCTGTGTATGGTGGTTTAGTCTGATTTCCTTTATTTCATTGTGGTGAAATTCTTCACTCTTCTCTCCTTGGTGAATTCCTGCCAATCTTTAAACATCGTGTTAAAGGCTACCTCTTACAGGAAGCCTTCCACAATCCACCTCTCGCCTGCAACACCACCTCCCTTCAGTCCTCTGAGAGCTCTTAGCTTTTGTAACTTTCTAAGGGAATTTCTTTGACACGTCAGTGAGTCTGTGACCTCGCTGATGGGGGCTTTCAATTCTGGTAGATCACAACCATCTATGCTGGCCCATCCTGGGCAATTTGTCTATGTTCTGTAAACCCACCCAAGGAGGTCTATGCCTTCCTGAAGCTCTCTTGCCATGTAATATTATGGATTATAGTTTATCTAGGTTTGTGTCTTATCTCCTCCTCCCTCCTACAGACTTGTTAGCTGTAGTGCAGGGACAGAGGCAGGATTGTGCATGTGGAGCAGGAAGGGACTTAAGGGGTCATTGAGCGAATGAGCAAAGTCATGGAAACGTTGGGGATGGCAGGCCTCAGTCTGAGCCTCTTGTTTTACAGATGAGGAAACTGAGGCCCATGGAAGAAGTAATTTGCCCAGTGTTACACCCGTTAAGCATCAGATCCTGACTCCAAAATCAGCATTCTTTTCTTTAACACTCATTCTATCTTAACTTTGTATTTCCCTCCTCTCTGGTGTTCAGCACATTACTCGGCACACAGTAGATACTCAATAAATATCTGCTGAAACTGTAGCAAAAGGTTTTGATCTCTCTAGAACAATGGGTCTACAGTTAGATTTCAGGAGGCCCATGTACTTAGATGGGGAAAAAAAATCACATCATTATCTCAGTATCACTGGTTTCCCTTGTAATTCTGTATTTTATTTTTTCATTTTAAAAACATTATTCTGAGGAGTCTATAGATTTTGTCAGACTGCCCAGCAACACAATGGAGGTTAAAAGCCCCTGTGAAGCACATCTACCTGTTTCTAGGTAGAGAGGTGAGGTGATACAGGTACAGAATGCTGCACATACTGTCTGTCATGTGAACCCAGTATCAGTTGGTTTTGCCTATTTTTCTTAGTTTCTAGGGAAGGTACTAGGGGGTAGAGAGTAGTATATTAAGAAATTACTGGACAAAAGGTATCAGTAAAACCTTTATAACTCTTATCTACACTGGGTGTGATATTTTGACACAGTTAGTTACCTTACTATCTAGGGGTGGCAAGCAGGTGTGGTGCTTCCTTTATTGGTCCTGGATTTCCTGAGAAGTCTGGCCCCTCCTTTCCCAGGCCAACTTCTACCTAAATGCTTCCAAGGGTCCTATAGAAAATACTAGCTTCCTTTCAATGGTGCACTAGGCTCTCCAGGTTATTATCAAAACAAAGCATTCCTGCCCAACTTTGTGGGATGGATGGGCTTTTCACACTGGGACAATTTCTTACCAAAGAGGTGATTAGCCTTGGACAAAGGCTTAAAATATCGAGGAGGCTGATAATCATTGGCTTTCCAGATTAGGATCCACCCAGGAAGAACGGAAGCCTGTCTTTCCTCTCTTTGTGTGGCTTCCCTGTTCTGGCTGCTACTGCCCTGCCCAGCTCATGGTTGGGTTCCATCTGCTCACCTCTGAGGGCCATTTCTGGGGAGAGGAAAGAAAGGCCAGATAGGAAGCTCTCTGTGTGCATATGAGTGTATATTTATGTTAGAAAAAGGTCCCATGGGGCAGCTAGGTGGTGCAGAGGATAGAGCACCAGCCCAGTATTCAGGAGGACCTGAGTTCAATTCTGGCCTTAGACACATAACACTTACTAGCTGTGTGACCCTGGGCAAGTCACTTCACCCCACTGC